TGATTTTGAAGCCTTCCTCACATTTCTCTTGCACCTGCTCCATGGAAAACTCGTGGTGTTCCTGAGGCACTTGTGTCTGCCATTCCGTGGGCCCATCCGAGGAGAAGACCTCATGACGCCGATAGTGGAAACCGCCAAGGCCCACCAAACCGCCAAGGCCAAGGAGGCTGGTGAGAAGCCCCAAAAGCGAACAGCTCAGATGCATGGCTCCAGGGCTTTGAAAGGTAAAGCGAAACTCCCCGAGAACTAAAGCATATGCCTGCGTTGAAGCACATCATGCAACTGCGTATGCATGCTCTTCCAGACAGGATTGCCATCCAAGCCCAGCGCGCCAGGCGCCCAAGGAATATGACTGTGGCTGCGCGTCGCAGCTTTAGGGTCATGTAAAACACTTTAGGGCTAAGGGAACCGAAAGGCCTTGCCTACAGCACAAAAAGCGCACAACAGGCCCAGACAAGTCCATTCTTTGAGGTTGTTGGGAACGTCAGCATGCTTCAGCGGCAGGCAAGGCGAGCGAAGAAAGTGGCACCAGCACGTTAATCAGTAGCTTCCTGGGACCATATGCAATAATTTTGCATCCACTTTGCGCCAACAGCCTCTATTGTGTCAAGTTTTGGGCAGCTGAGCAGGGTCAACCCTTGTTGTGTGCAAGTATCCGCCATAATGTAAAGCAAGAGTTTCCTCCTAGCGACTTTTGTAAGCATCAGTGGTGTAAGTCAACATCGCCAAAGAAGCCTTAAAGCTTCAAGCTGAATGCTTCCCGGCAATAGGCTTTCCCCTTATCAGCGGCCCGGCAATTCCAAGACTTTGCTGAAATTCGTCCCGGAAAGGCCCTTGTTTGAAAACAACATTTCCACACCGCACTGCCTGAATCTCAAACCGTACTAAACCTTTACTCTAAATCCTGAACCAATTTCTCGAATACTGTCCCTCTTTCCTCGCAACGTTTGTAATTGCTCAAATACAGTTCTGTGGCCTATGTACTAGCGACTCCAGCTACCACGACGACCACGACAGCCACCGCTACCACTACCGCTGCCACTACCACCACCGCCAACATTACTTCTACTCAGATTAAGATTCAGAGGATTGTCATGAGGACGAAATAAACAAGCGCCGAACCCCGTCCTACGCTAGACAAGCCGCAACACAAGGCTGAGGACATGGCAACGTCAGATAGCCGCCAGTAAGGTGCCCAATTTTCTCGTTGCATAGCGAGCACCTCACAAAGCCTCAGCGTAACTCTTGAGTCACGTGGCATGTGAAGTGACCTTGACAGAAAGCCTCACCACCACAACTATGTAGCAGGACCAAATGTGATACAGTGAAGCCTATACAACGGACATGGAATGTAGAAACTGTCCAAGGAACCCTTGCCCTCCATGTCCGTCCAATACAATGGATGCTCGTGGACTCCTGGCCAAGAGGAATCCGCCGAGGCCGGAGGCTTGGAACGTTTGGATTCCAGGGCCGTGGGAAAAGTAAGTTAACCCACCCCCTACCCCCCCCAGTCTGCAATTCGGGATAAGGATCCAATCGGCTGGTTTTTGTTCGGGTTTCTAACGGGTCGACAGGTTTGCCGAGGCGGTCTCGCATTAGCGGTTAAATTACTTTCGCACCAACTTTTGCTGCTTCTACTGTGGAAGGAGAAATTGTTGCACAGCCTTGTGTACCCTGGACCCTAAGCACTAAAATGTGTCTTTTGGAAAGTGATGCAAGGCTTCCCTCAGTCCTTTGAGCGTGAGGCTCTCCCCTTCAGTCGCCTTTTGGATAAGACCTGACACATGCTTTGCAGCACAGCACAGCTTGTTCCCAAGTCTGCCAGACAAATCACAGACACCTCAACAGCATCAAGACAAAATTGAGTCCATGTATGTTCGGTGTCAACACAGCCTAGCTAGCAGCTAGCTGTGCAAACTGCCACCCGCCTTTCATGAGCACGAATTCCAGCTGCATGATGGGCAAGCCAAGGACCTCATGGCCAGCAAGCCACAGCAGTCCAAAGTGAGCAGCTCATGACTTGTCTCTGCTTTCAGCAGTTTGAACGGATTGCTAGCAACTCAAGGGAGCCATGACTTCCACAATATGGCCATGTTTCATGACCAAACTGCAGCTATGACTCCAAAATTCACTCTTGAAGCACATGGATACTTAGCAGAACTCACACCTAGGTCTTCCCACACGCACATCCCGAAGCGCCTGAACAATGACCCAGAAGCTGCTCCAGAAGTCAGTGGTGGGCAAGCTCACCACCTCGCGCTGAAAGCACCGGTATGCTGCAGTAAAGGCGTGGAGTTGAAGGCAGAGTTGTCCCAACATAGACTCGTAAAAACTGGAGGAGGCTACACTTTAGCACGCCTCTAGGTTGATACTCCGGGCAGTTCGGTGTTTCTGTCACCCATTGCCCTTTTTGGGATCTTCTGGTCTTGCCTGCATCCATGCACGTCAGGAGACATCACGAGCACAAAAACAATCCTAACCACTCAGCAGAAAGTCCCTGAGGGATTGAAAGTTCGTAAAGATCATGAATAAGGCCTGATGCATCAAGGCCATAGACATTGAACTGAGGAACTCAAAACGGTTGAGGGTCTTCCGCGGCCTCGATGGCAGTCCGCAGCGAACACAGGGCAAAGAACAGGTAGATGAGGAAGGTCACGAACTTGCTATAGCTCTGACCTGTCAGATCATGCAGAAACCTGTTCCTCTACCTTCAGATACGGCGCAGGGCCAGTGTAGAGCCGCATAGCCGTAAAATGTATCCAGCACGTCAACGGCCAAAAAGAGAGCAATCCCATCTGCACCAGAAATAGCTCTATATGGCGCTCTTCTTCAGGATAGCGACATGCTTGCTTTAGCAAGGCCGTTCTGTTGCAGGCAGCACATTCGATTTCAAGGCCCCTGAGTGTGCAGTTCCACTGTCGCCGAACGCAAGGCTAGCGAGCCTTCAGTTGCAAACCTACGCCCCAAATCCCAAACTCTAAACCCTGATTCCTGGACCCCAAACACTGCCCAATCCCCTGCCCAAAGTGCTCGGGATTACTTTTCACAGCTCTCGGCTGGGCCTCGCTCCAGCTTCTTCAGCTCCGATTGCCGAGAGCTGACCGTATCGTCTAACTGTTGCGCCATTGCCTTGCAGCTTTCCGCCACGCCGCATGTGATACGTTCGCTGTATTTGTGGTATATATTGCGAAAATTTGGGGTTCCAAGTAGGGAAGAAACGATATCTGCTTTGGCTTGAGGATTAGAGATTAATCAAGGAGTAGGGTTTAGGGTTTCCCCTCAGATTCACAAATCAGAACGTAGTAGTTGGTCCAGATAGCAAGCCTGCCGGACCAAGGATACAAAGTCACCACAAGGAGACCATATGCAAATTACCCTCAGTCAACGTTGAGACATTGGTCGTTGTGAAGCTTACTCTCAGTTTGATTGACATAGTCATTACTGTTAGGTGCAGAAGCATGCATTTGTTACGGCTGATCTTCCGCTTGTCATCATCGCCTTTATTGCCTCCAGTGCAGTACCAGCTCTCCTTCTACTGCTGCTGTTAGAAGCAACTATGATGACAATAACACTCGTGATGCTAATAAGAATGTGTGACGACTACGCGGCTTGGGTGAAGAACAGCCAGCAGGCAAAGCCTACACTGGCATGCTCCGGAAACAATGTGCTCCCACAAGAAAACTGATGGCCACAGTTTTGCCACAAGCCAAACACCACAACTCTGCATGACATGTCTTGGGACCTCGGGCATGTCTTCTCTACTAAACGCCTCCTGATGAGTCACGTTTTCACCAACAGGGCTCCACTTTTGCACAAATCGTTTCCCTGCAAAACAGCCCGCCCCCTATGCAATAATGTCAATCATGTCCCCAAATACCAGGATCTTGCCCAGGGGGTCGTTGATGTAAAAGGGGTGGCAGGGTGTGTCATCTTCAGGGGGAATCATTACTTGTTCTGATTTGCTGCCCACGTGAGCTTGATGCTTCCGGGCTCACACGACTGCCAACGGAAGGTTGAAAGAATGTTCCCATGGAGGGGCTCTTCATTGGCTCTTCATCCCTTGGCAGAAAAACATCCCTGAGCCAGCATCTGCACAATCGATCAGTCTTCGGAACTTGTTGAACGCTGCTGCGTCCCTGGGTCTGGAGTTCGTGCCAAAAATATGCGCAATGCCGCAAAAATCTGCCTTTTCCTGCAATAGCCACAGGAAAGACAGCCCCAAAGCTCGATTTGCAAATCATCTTGACTTGTAGGCTACCTGTGTACTGCTTGACCTTGGGATCCAGCTACAATACAGAGAAAGTGATATGATCATGGCCAACAGAAAACCGTTAAAAGAGCGCCTTACTTTTGACAAACCCGAAGATCTTCACTCTCTATCATCCTGACAGTTCCTGCATAAGCCAGGTATGACCTCGGTAACCCCTTGAGAAAGGGGATCGAGGCCTGTGATTGTTGGGCTATCTGGGCTTCCGACATCTCCGCTGCTGGCGACGCTGGAGTTCAGCAGTGGTGCTTCACGAGCCCTATCCGGTTCGCCTCAAGCTTTCGAGAAAAAATACCGGGTTTAGGATCTTTTGATGGCCTTTTCAAAATTGTAAATCGTTTCCTGGGCACTTGCCTGCGGATCCGAGCATTTTGCAGGCATGCCGGTGGACCATTGATTCTGGGAACTTCCCGTGGAAAAAAACTGTTCTTGTCATTTCGTAGTGCTTTCCAACTACTGCAAAGCAACTGCTAAGACACTGCTAACCAAACCGGAACACCATCAATCCTAGTCCTGGATGAGAAAAACTAAA